GTGTTCTAGGCACACTATGGTCATTAGGTTCACTATATAAACGTTTTAGCAAAAACCAGAACGTACTGCAACAGAGCTCACAGTTTATTCGCTCAACACTTTTCGTAGACATCTTTTCTGTGTGAGCAGGATACACAAGATGAGAACAATCCCATTCTTTGAAAGATAAATAATGCTCTCCTAGCGGTCGTTACTGTGACATAAACATCCTTAGGAATGACTGTTTGTTTAGTACTATAAATATTTCTGAGAATGCTGGATCAGGGATGTGTGCTAGTAATTTTATAAATGTTCTCTTACTACCCTTAAAGATTTGTGCCAGTTTGCAGTTTAAAACTTTAAATAATAATTGTTCTGCTAATTTCTTCAAATCAGCCCCATCTCATCCACCTCAGTAAAATTTCATTGCAGAATCTCATCCCCCTATGCGTGCATCCATCTCTCTCTCTCTCTCTCTCTCTCTCTCTCTCAGAGGTTTGTATTTCTTATGGATTGACTTTGCCCACTTCTTAGTTGTATCATTTTCTTACTGATTTATACAAGTCCCTAAGCAGTATGCTGTTAAATTGTGATTGACACCCCTGTAGGTATACTGAACGCTATAAAGCAGTCTCTTTCTGTACTTTATTTCCTTCTAGTTTATTTCTTTGGGTTCAGAGTTGTTTTCTTATTTTTGTATTCATGTTACCTTTATCATACAGCATTTTCACCTTGTCAGAATTTGTCATGCCATTTACTTAGGTTTTATGTTCTTCAGTAGCAGCAGTATATACCACTGTTTTTAGAGTTTTAATTCCTGTTTAACCTTTATTATTGCTGAATGAATATGCTGTGTTCTTACATTTTACAAGTGAATTAACTAGGACGTGTATATTAGCCCACGTGTACCATCTGAATTCTCATTCTTTTAATAACATTGTATCATCACAAATGTTATTTGACAAAAATGTGAGGCCAACATGTAAATGAAATAAAGGCCTTTAGAAACTCTAGGGGGAGATACTGGAAGTGGGAGGGCGCAGTGGCCAGGCCCAGCCCCCTTCAGAACTGGGCAGTTACAGCAAAGTGCAAAGCCTTACATGATATACAGCCTTGTTAATGGAGATTGTGCTTGGTGCAGTGTGTTCTTCCACTCCCCACAGAGCAGGCGGCAAGCAGGTGTCGTCATAAAGAAACAAAAATAAAGCCAACCAAGTAGGAATGGGACAGGTCTCTGCCAGTAATAAATAAAGTAACTCGGCCATTAAAAACGAGCTGCGAGCTGGGCTATAACATAGTGGCAGGATGCTTGTTCTGAATATGTAAGGCTCTGTGTTCAATCCCCAATAGTGAAACAAACAAGGCAGTCATGTAGAAACGTTGGGACACTTTTCTAGCTTATTTACTCTCCCAAGTATTGTGCTCTTTGACTAAAGGAAAAACTAAAAAAAAAAAAAAATGTACTATCCAGTGATGCGCAGCAGTCATTAAAACTCAGGTGGAAATGTGTATTCTATTAATTAAATCTGAAATGTAATAAGAGAAATTCAGACTGGAAAGGACAAGGAAAACCAAAGATGACGAGGGAGAAATTATATAGGGTAAATATAGGGAGAAATTATATAGGGTAAATATAGAAATCACTAGGTTATCAAATAAAAGAACAGTGTTACTTAAATGGGAATAAAACTCCATGTGAGTTTTTAAAATAAACAGTATGGCTGAACTCCTGGTAACCCTGACAGATAGGAAGAGAGAAAATCTAAAGGGGACACACAAATAAAAGAACAGTGTTACTTAAATGGGAATAAAACTCCATGTGAGTTTTTAAAATAAACAGTATGGCTGAACTCCTGGTAACCCTGACAGATAGGAAGAGAGAAAATCTAAAGGGGACACACACATAAAAAAGTAGTTCCACCAAACACTAAGATAGTAAGAAACACTGTGTACAGATTTCAGCCAATACAGTTTACAATTGAGACCAAGAAGTTTATGGAGAAATCTCTGATCATAATCAAAACTGATTCATGAATAAGGTGAGACATGGATGAACCGATTACCAAGAAGAAATTCAATTAAGACACTCAGAGAAGACAAAGATGTATCCTTGAAAGTTTAGTCAACGAATTTGCCTTTCAGAGGTTTAATTATTCTTGCCTTTTAGTGCTTTGAGAATGAAGAAGACAGTGGAGCAGTTGTGTATTCCTGATGTCAAAACAGGCTACTCTTCTATGAAAATACTACAGTTCTAGGCAAACGTTTGCGCACACTTCATAAATGCATCGATAGGATACCATGCAGTGATTAGGAATGATTTACTCCAAAAAGGCACAATTACTGCAGTATTAGCAGTTTGTAACTGTCGTTACAAAACAAAGAACAATCACATGGCCACTATTAATAGACATTTTTAAAGTATCAGATAATAATCTCTGTGTCCTTTTGAGTGGTAAGTGAATTTTAAAACGAGTAGAAGGGAAATTCCGAGGTCTAAAAAATGTTCTTGTTTTTAATGTTGAAACATTTTTAATGGTCACAGTAGACCTTGCAGACTAAACTATTGGACATGAAGATAATTACCAGTTTAGTGGGTGAGACGCTAGAAATCGGTTTCCTTGGTGCATCTTAAAATAGGGCATTCAGCTTGAAATTTCGTCCGGTATGATGCCAGGCTTTATTTTGAGTTGAGGCAAATGGATAAATAAATGTGTGCCTTCGCAGTGTGTGTGCATGTGCGTGAGAGAGAGAGAGAGAGAGAGAGAGAGAGAGAGAGAGAGAGAGCCTGAGAGCGTCTGAGAGAGAGATTCAACTGGAACTTTGTGAACAGTTTGTACCTGACATTGTGTCAGAAATATGAGGTGCTCCTCCTCCTCCTCTTATAAACGCTAGTAAAATAAAAGTAAATTTTGCCCAATTGCTTTATTCAGATTAATTGCTTTAAAATCACTACTCTGATATTAAAACCTGCTTGTTAGAGACAGATACAGTACTGTAATAGGCATTTACAGACAGTGGACAACGCCTTGTCCAGAGCCCTCGGGAAGGAATCATGAACTGTTAGAGGTAGCGGTGTGTATAGGATGCTGGTGGCCAGAGACTAGAGCTTGTGAGATAAATAGAATTTCCACACATAGAGAGAGGAAGCAAAAGCTTCTTAAGCTGAGAGAACAGAATGAACAAATGTGTGATGGCAAGAGCTATCGGCTGTTTGTTACACAGACTAGCAGTGCTCCAACCCCGCTAAGCATTCCCTCAAGAACATTAAAATAAGAAAAAGAAAAACAAACAAGAGTCCGCCAGTTGGTGAGTTAGCATAAGGTCAGGACACCTTCGCTTTTCTAAAAGTGTCACGGATGGTTCCGTTCACCGTCAGGGTTGAAAACAGTGATGCAGTCCAGCATTCAACTAGAGCATCAGGGACGTCAAGGCACCGTGCGGGATTCCAGAAAGAAACATTAGAGCCAGGTGACAGCCAAGACAACTTTGTTTTGGCTCAGTTTTGTATTTTGTCTTTCTTTCTATTACATTACCACAGTTCTTGCAATTTCTTTGTTATTATTTCAAGATAGGGTCTCAACTATGTAGCATAGGTTGCTTTTAAAACTCATGACACTCCTGCCTCAACCTCCCAGTTACTAAGATTAGGCATGTGCCACCATGGCTGATACAGTCTCCTCCATTAGATATCCGCCAAGTGTCTCTTAAATAAAATTGACCCCTGGATGGAATTTGAAGCAAAGCATGAAGTGAAGAAATGAAAACTGTCAATGTTGCTGTATTCCCACCCCCAAAGGTTAAAACAACACCATTTAGTTATTGCTCATAGGTTGGCTGGACTCACCTCGGCAGTCTTTAGTCATCTGGAGGACAAGCTGGCCTCAGTTGTCTAATACTGGTGGCTCACAATGCTCCCAGCAGGGGCTGTCAGAGCGTCTTTGGGGACACCTTGCAGAGTCACTGCCGGGCCCCGAGAAGAAGCATCTCAAGAGTAAGTACTTGAAAGGGCCCAGGCTACCAACCAACCTATGAACCAGGCTTGTCAGCCTCAGACATCACTGCCGTGTTCTCTAGGTCAAGCAACCTGTGTGTGTTCAGTGAAAGCTGAGTAAACGCCATCCTGTGTGGAGAAGAATGTGTGCATGCACGGAGAAGAAAGTGATGCGAGACATCTTTAGAGACTCGCTACCCCAAATATCATTGCAGGAAATCTAGACAGTAACACAGACCAAACCTTGAGGATAGACGGATCTGAATAATGTGAAATGCGGGTTAAAGTGTGTGAGAGATCTTGATGGAGTGTCTGACAATAAAGAGTACACCCTTATTTCGGATATCTGTAAAACATGTGCCTTTCTTCTCCAGAGCAGAGATGCACATGGTCCCCTCTTGACACACAGATCTAGAGCCTTGACCTGGCCTTAAAACGTTAGAGCCGCGCTCCTTTAACCCACTCTCCTCTCTTGTGATCGCAGCTCCGGTTTCATTCTTGGGTGCATTCTCTCGTTTTTCCTGGGTTTTGTTTGCTGAAAGAAGCAGCAGGGAAGGGGAGTTTGTTTTGATTCCCCGTCGTGTCATACTAAGAACAGTTTTGACTCGCCCTGGGAGGATCTGTGCGCCTCAGGGTTGTTCTCCAGCAGCCACTGGAGTTTCCTCGTTCTCCAATAGTGACTTGGGGATTGAGCCATCATTTTTTTCGTTGCATTATTTTGAAGTCTCATAACTGGGCGAGATTTGCCATAAGAGTTTGGGCTTTGTTTTGTTTTTTTAGTTGGCTTTCTGAAACTTGTGCTGTTTGCCATTCCTGGTCCCATTCAGACAGCCCAGGGTGTGGGACCATGCAATTGATGCAGTTTCCAGGCCTGTGACTGAGTCCTGTGCTCCTCATGTCTTAGGCGTGCCGTTACCATGATGTATAGGAATGTTTTAAGATCTGGATCTTGCCCTTGAGCCACACAAGATTGGCATGTAATCCAACAGCTGGCTTCCTCAGTAATGCTTAGGTCCCTTTACTGTTGCAGGTCGTCACACTGTGGTACCGAGCCCCAGAAGTCTTGCTCCAGTCCAGCTACGCCACCCCCGTGGACCTCTGGAGTGTCGGCTGCATATTTGCAGAAATGTTTCGCAGAAAGTAAGAACTCCATTTCCTCTTTGAATCATCGTCTTTTTGAGTGGCAGCATGGCATTTCAGTCTCATTTGAGATCATGGTCAGACCCACCTGTACTGGTCCTGTCCCAGATCCACATTCTTAGTCCTTACAAGGACTGTAGCTTCTGGCTTGTGGAAACTGAAAAGCAATCCCTCGCTGCCTTCCTAGTTAAGTTGAAGCATCTTGCAGTACTCCTCTAAAGGGTGGACTTTATCCACAGGAGGATGATTGGGTGTTTATGATCTAATAAAGCTTGCCTGAAGATCAGAGTGCAAAGCTAGCTAGCCACAGCCATAGAGGCTAGGCACTGGTGGTCCACAGCTCTAATCCCTGCACTCAGGAGACAGAGGCAGATGGCCCTCTGAGTTCAAGGCCACCCTGGGCTACATGAGAGTGAATCAGTCTAAAACGGAAACATAACTCACACCTTTAATCCCAGCACTGGGGAGGTGGAGACAGGAGTGATCTGGCTGGGAGGAGACAGGAACTCAGGGCAGTCCCACTGAGTCTGAGGAGCAGTGCAGTCGAGTCTGAGGTTCAGTGGGTCCCCGCTTCTGTCTGAGCATTGGTAGAGGTGAGAACTCTATAGTGGCTGGCTGCTTTGCTTTTCTGATCTTTGGGAAAACTTTATTATATCATAAACAAAATATCAACCACAATCAAGGCTATGAAATACACAGGAGTTTTTTAACAAAAATTCTAATGATGGAAACTGTTGAGGGGGGGAGGGGATTACATTTAAAAAAGTCGAAGACAAAGTGGCCGCGAGCATGAGCTCCTCCATATGGAGGAGAGATCTGGCACATTTGGGCACTATAGAGTGCCGAATTAGAAACACACATATAGAAATCAAAAAAAGAGCTTTGCTGTTGGTGAGATGGCTCAGTGAGTACTTGCTAGCAGTAAGGACCTGAGTTTAGTCCTGGGATGCACAAGGCAAATGGAGAAAACTGACTCTCACAAGTCCCCTAACTTCTTGGGTCTGCTGTGTGGCCCGAGCACACAAAGTTAACCCGTGCTGGAAATGGAGATCTGCTTGGAAGGGGGAATCTAATGATCAGACAGGATTTTGTGTGTGCTCAGTGTCCCGGTGTCCACCACACCCTGGGGATTTTCTCAGCGGTGGCGGGAGAGATGCATGATGTCTGGGGCCACCTGCACGTGAAAGCTGTAGTTCACTTGTCTTTTAGGTCACAAAAATAGACAATTAGTATGATAAAATTCTGTCAGGAAAATAAACAGGGGACTAACTGATCTCTTCGTGGCTATTCTTGTTTCCCTCAAGAGGTGGGTGAGGAAGCCGAGGGCATGCCCACTGAGCGTGTGCAGAAAGCGGCTCTGTGCAGGTTCTTTTCTGAGGAAAGAAGTGGTCGGCCATTGTGGCTTGCTATTTGTTATAGCCAGAGGAAGTGTGTGCGGCGAGCTTTGTGAAGGGGATTGTGGCAGAGACACACCTGAGAGGACAAAGAGTTGTTTCCTGCTGGCCTGCTCTATGTCCAGAACATTGCCAGTTTTCCCATGCGTTTCTTTTTCTAATCCTTGATGTAAGAAATGGAATGAAAGGCAGCTAAGAAGTAGCAGGGTTATGAGTTGGAAGGGAGTCCAGTAAATTCTATTCTAGTAATGATTAATTTAAAAAAAAAAGACAAGGAATAAAAATTAGCTGTCAACAAAACCTCAGGGACTACCAACCAGGCTGATAGGGGGATATGGGATAGTTGAGGAAGAAGGGCTTGTGTACACTGCATGCAAGTGAACAGACCAGAAGTCTACTTCGGTGTCATCCACATTTTTTTTTTGAGGCGGCTGTCTCACTGGGTTAGCTGATTAAGTTAGGCTCACTGGCCCACGGGGTCCCACCTGATTCCACCTCCCCGACCATAGGATTACACTCTCATGCCATCATGCCCTGCTCTTTCTGTTGGTGCTGGAGGTGCCTGTGTCTACTAGGCAAGTGTTTTACCAACTAAGCTGTCTGTTCTGTCCTTCAGTAAATAGTTGATCAAAGTGTGGCACTTTGGACCTTTCTTAGAAGTGTGAATTCTTAGAACCTATCCTGAACCTCCCTAGTTGGGATTCTGGGACTAGAGTCTGTCTCTCTGTGTTTTGGTGAGCCCTTCCCTGGATCCTAATAAGAACCAGGCTAAGAACCACTACATTGGATGGTGGTGTTGCCAGAAATGGGCAGTACTTAAAAATGTGTATCTTGGGACTCTGATTCACTACTGAGTTGGGCCAGGAATCCTGTCTTTTCAATGTGCCTCAGGCAATTCTTTCATCCATCAAGAGTAGAATGCATTAGGTTAAAGATCAGGCATTGGATTAAGTAGAGCATGGTAGGAGTTAGGACAGGTGTTCCAGGCTATCCAGGGAATAACTTAATACTAAGATCAGTTAGAAAAATGCTCACTGGAATTATAATTATGAGCCTAGAATTTTCCACAGTGTAAAAATGGAGTCCCTATTTTGGAAACGGAGAGGTCAGTTATTTTTCCACAATACTGTTAGGTTAACCATAATTGGTGATTTTAAAAAAAAAAAAAACCTATCTCTGAAGACACTAAAAGACGAAATTTAAGAGATTAGAATTGAACATTCATTAGTAAGATACTGGCTACATTTTTAAAAGTTGCTCTTTTAAGTCTTACACATATTTATACCTGAGTGATTAGTGTAAATTGATAATCAGCTTTCCAGCCTAGTTTGAGTGCTCTTGAATCATTTGGAACATATGTGAAACATTATATTGCTAATTCATCACCACTTTTTTCCTATAAGAAATTTTCCTGACGTGCTCCAAGCCAATATGACAGGAACACCCCTCTTTGCACCTCAGAATTAGGACCAAGAAAAGAGGCTCAGGAAAAGGCTTCTTGGTGATGGTGGCAGTCTTCTAGTTTACTTAGCTGTGAGAGTAATACTAGGTAGAGATCCATTGGCTCCTCAGAGTATGGTCACAGGAAAGTACCCTTTCTCCTAAAAGTAATGCATAAAGGTTGACAAAAAAATAAATAAACGATTGAAGGAGAAAACAGTAGCAGAAACTTGCTCCTAAATCTGAACAGAATAAATCTAGACCAAACACCTAACCTTCCTAGGATAAGCTGTCCCTGCTTGCCCCTTTTAGTTTGACTGTGACCTTGAACATGTTTGTAGTCTTTGGTCTTTGTTTCTGCTCAGTTTGCATTGACAATGCCCAGGTATCCAGGCACAGCATATGTCTTACTTAGGCCAGAAGTGTCCCCATACTCCAGCATTGCCAAGATCCAGCTAGACTCCTGACGCTATGTTGAGAACTCAAAAGTCCAGGATCCCAAAAGCATACTCTTTGATTACTGCAAGCTAATCTAAGTCCAGGAATATTGTTTGCAGAGGCAGAAATTTAGACATTGCATTACTTTATTACCTCCACTGTTTTTGCTATACCCTTATGGCAGTTTCATTACCATTTACTTATCTTTTTTTTACTTCTCTAAATCAGCTTAATTTATTATTTAGCTTCACCCTAAACAAAAATATATAAAACCATAGCTTTGGTAAACTGGTTATTTACTTGTCTGATAGACACTAGAGTTTATATAAATATCAAGATGATTAGAAAGCAGTCCATGTCCATCTTCAGCTAAAATGCCTGACCCTGTATGTCAGAACCCTATAGCACAAATCCCTGTAGAATGGTTGCTGCATAAGAGGTCCGCCAGAGGGATGACTGTCTTCAACCCCAGGGAAGAAGAAAGCCATTGCATGTGTGATGTGTACATTAAACAGAAATGGCTTATAAAGGATGGGGTGCTGTGGGTTGGTATAAAAAGACTATTTGGGGGAGTAAAGATTCTCAGTGAAAGGCTGAATCACATCCTAGTTATTTATATAAAATCTTTGAGGAATAATCATTTTTGTATAAGCAAAACTTGCCATCCTCCATAACCTGGGGAGTTGAACACCCATGTTCTGACAAGCCTGGGCCCAGGGCCTTTACACACATTATCTCACCAGGCTGCATTCAGAGGCCCAGTATCCAGAGGGTAGAGATATGGACTCTCTCCAACTAGAGTGAGTAACTTTTTCAGGAACACCAACTACTACATGGCGGAGCCCAGGACGGAATCAGTCTGCCTGGCGCTGTAGCCGTTGATTTTTCTACTTTGTTATTTTTGCTCCTGACATTATCAAACATAAGAAGCCTGTGTTTTTATTTGTTGGGATGTTTTTCTTTTTCTAGAGTATCTTATGTATTGCTACAAGAGAACAGCAATGATATTTTAGAGATTGAAAAATAGATCACACAGTCAATGACCTTGATTTCCGGTCATCTTAACATTGGAAAGATTGATCTTCATTAACATTATCAAGAGATATGTGCTTTCTATTCTACAATTGATAGCTAGGACGTCCAAGCTCAATAAAGAAGTTTTAGAACAGATGGTTGCCAAAGAGCCAGAGAGTTAAATACCATCTGCCACTATTATCTGAGTTTAATACTTGCCCACACTGACCCACAGAAGCGTTCTACAAAATGGATTAGAGTTGGGTTTTTTAATCTTCCTCCTCTGGCTGTTTGTAAGTGGCCCATCTTAACATCACACTGAGTTGTATTTTACACTAAAACAGTTGGAAATTTGGTCCATATCCATATAGTTAAAATGATGGGAGGGTTAGAGGGAGATGGGTGGGGTGGGGTGGTATTTAACTATATGATGAAGTAAATTAATAATCTCTACTCTTCATGTATCTGTTAGTTGCCTTTTGGTCCTAGCCAAAACTAGTAGTTTATGGTTTGAAAGTTCCGGGGTTTTCCAGGTTAAAGCAAAGTCATAAAAAAGAGAGTGCACATTGAAAAAGAATAAAATATGCTACTGATTCTTTGAATATGGAGATTGTGGTGAACAGATAGTGATTCTTAGAAATGCTGGGTTGCCAGCTGATCCTTAGCTACGAAATGCCAAATGCCACCAAGAAGAATATAACAAAAACAGTCACT